AGTATATTGAAATTAGGAAATGAAGTATAGGCAAAACATTTTTCATCTTGAATTTGTGTTTCTGTTAAGCAAGCTGGCATTCAATAATTTAAAAATCTAACATTGGTTATATTTTCCAAAATTTAAAAACACGTATCAAATAGCCATAGCAACTTGAGCTTGAATGGAAGCCCAGTTGCTGTGAACAGAAGTCTGTGGGTTTCCATGCTGATGTAGTGCTTCTCAGAGTCAAAATATTAAACTATGGCTATATTGTGCAGGCCTTCTAGCAAAAACCGTCTGAGTTTTTACCTTGGAACACTGGAACGATAAAGCGCTTTTTATCTAGAATCGGGCCTGCTGTGCATTGCCTTGGAATATTATCAGTGTTACACAAATTGCTAATAACGCTTGGTGTTTTATAGCAGCTTCTTTCTAAGTGAATCTGCATAGGGAATGATTACATGCTATACTCTGTAGTACTCTGGCATTTACATTTTAAAGCCATTTCTGAAACTGAAGTCTCAAAACATCCCTATCACTTGCTTCCAAGCTCTCTCTCTTATTTTTCAATGTCAGCCATGGCCTGTATTAGTTTATCCACTGAGCGTCGAAGCTGTTAGAGAATTACTTGGAGTAAGTAAATGTAGCTCTGACCTTTGGGTGGAGTTTGCAGCTACAGGTCTCTGTGAATGGGACAAAAGTAGATCCACTGAGAAGCCATTTTCTGGCTTTGAAAAAGTGATGGGGACAGGTGTGACCGGGATCAGCCGTGAGGAGGTGGTTGCGTTTCTGTCAACGCGCAGCGGCGGGGCAGCATCTATGCTGGCTTTGCGCTCTTATGGCGGAGGACAGAGGCTACCTTGTGTCGTTAGACCACAGCAGCCCTCACCGGCTCGTCCCCGGTGCGTCAGCTATCCGAGTCCTGCCACTTGTGTGACGTGTGGGTCGCCACAGCCGCAGCGCTTGCAGTACCTACAGGCCTGGGGAGTCTTGGGGAGGGGCGCCGGTCACCTGAAGAGCCAGAGCCACCCGAGGTGTGCCGTCGAGGTCACCAGTCACGCCTATCAGACAGCGGCCACGCATCTTACTGACAGCAGTTTTGCTCAGAAACCCCCCGCCAGAGCCAGCAGTCCTGTCAGGCAGCCCACACCTGGGTACCAGCCGTTCGGTTATGGCAGGCCCCCCCTTCAGCCCCCTCGTTTGCTTCAGATACCAGAGCTGGCAGAATTTGTACCAAAAGCGCAAGAAGTATTGTAGGCCAGAAATATTTTTAAGTTCTTTTGTACGCGTAAGAATAAAATCAAGCTATATGAGGTGACCAGAGCAGCTGTTAAAGCCGGTTTACCCACGGCGTGACCTACCACAGCACGTTTTCACTGTTCCCTGCAGGTGGAGCAGTATGTTGGTGAAATTAAAGGTGGCCTGAGACCAGCCATGAAACTCACGGTCATAGGGGTGGTACACTCCAACCCCAAGAGGTAGGTGAAAGGGCTGGTGAGGGCTTCACCCCTGCTGTAAGTGCTCCTACCTGTCTTCTGATTTCTTGAGAGTCTGTGTTCTTCAGGAGGAAGAAAGTCATACAGATTCATAATTTATAGCTCTAATTTTCCTGCTCTTACACTGAGATTAAAAGGGTGAGAAAGAATTCACTGTTTGGACTTCCAGGCTGCCCAGACAGCATTTTCTATTGCTTGCCTTTATCTAATGCGAAGTGGAGGGGGCACACAAGGGGCATTCCTCCTCCAGGAAGAGGTGCAGTTTTGAACCCACATCTCGTTTGTCTGCTGGAATCAACACCATTTGAAAACAAGTGGTTTTGGCACAGGAGGTCCAGATTCAATGCTGTGTTTAGTCTGCGTGGCAGCAACTGTGCTGTCATTACACTTTTTTGCATCTACAGAGATCAGCTCCAGTGCAATCAATGCTGGTGAAGAGTTTTCCATAACTTCTTTTATGATACAAATTGGAATTGGCTCATCCACGAATGTGTTTGATTCCAGTCACAAGAGAGGGAAAGCAACATCAGAAGTCACTAGCATCCTACCAGAAACTGGAGGAGAAGCAAAAACCAGCCCATTCTCATACCTTTCTGCAGCTTTTAAGCCTGTGCACAGTCTGCGTAGCAGTCCCATCTTTCAGTCTGACAAGAAATCAACAGCTGTCACTAGTCTTTATAGGCTTCTGATGTGCTAACCCTGTCCTTTCACATTTCTGAAAACCCCAGTCTTTTAATTGTTTTTTCAGCTTTTCAGTGACTCTGCTCTGTGATCCAGTGGATGCAAACAAAGATGTTGGGCTGTCATTTACAGTCAACTTTAGTGACAAATCCATCACTCGAAATGCACGAATTGCTGGGAAATGGGGAAGAGAAGAGAAGACTATTCCCTACTTCCCATTTACAGCAGGCGACACATTTAAGGTAATTTTGGGGATACTAGGATTAAAGTGTAGAAAAGGGAGAGAGAAAGGCTGAAGGCTATGTATATGACCACAAATAGCTAACTATTGAAATGGACAGATTAACTACTCTAGTATGACACAGAAAGCAACAGCTCAAGCCCTGATGGGAGAAATCCATTCCTTTCTCTAGTCTTAGAGAACGCACTATAAGGAACTTTACAGTATCACCTCAGCAGAGAGTAGGTCATTTATTAGGGGCATTTCAGAAGAACCGGTAGACTTTGTGCTTCCCTATCCCCATCACACTGGGTTCTAAGTCCATGCTGGTGAAATCAGCTCTGCCGCTTGTCTCTAACACCATCCCCTGTCCTTTTCCATTGCAGATGGAGCTCTTATGTGAACACCAGCAAATACGAGTCTTGCTCGATGGACGGCAGCTCTGTGACTTCACTCACCGCGTTCAGCCCCTGAATTTGGTGAAAGCTTTGCAGATCACAGGGGACATCAAGCTTACCAAAGTGGCTTGAAAAAAAGGAGACCACAGTATCACCAGAGGACAGAGGCAAATGTACTTTCTCCTGTCTGAGAAATGTTTTATCTTTTTCCCCTGGCTGATTCTGGAGCGTAGGAACTGTATCATTTTTATTTGCTGATGTGGCTGAAATACACACTGTTTTTTCTCATACACACACAGCAATTGCAGAGGTATGGCTGGTCCAGGTAAATGAGAGGGCCTTTGCTGAGATACTCCTTTGGCCTCCCAAACCGCAAGGTTTATGCTGCTATGCAGTATCTCACATCCTTGTGGTCCCCTAGCACCCAGGCAGGCCAGCTGGTGGAGGTCAGTCCTCTGCTGTGGGGTGGCTGTTAGCTTTGTGACAAAAACTGGGCAGTATGCAGATGGTGGGACTGAGAAAAGAGAAGCAGAAGATTTCCTTATAAGTGTATAAGGGAGTCTGGTGGGCCCCAGCAAGGCTCATGTTATCAGGAGGGAATTGTTTTTCCTGGAATCTCTGCTCAGTCAGCACAAGGTCATTTGTGCTTCCCAACAGTACAGAGCAATAAATGCCTTACCACCATCCCTGTCTCTTGCAGGTAGCGTTCTTGTGAACTGAAAGGTTTCAACAGCTGTGGATTTCAGAGTCTTCTCTGGAACAGCCCTAGGAAATGGTATCTGTAGCTGAAACTGCATTGCCCATTCTTGTATCTAATTAAAACTGCATCTCTGCTGGCCAGCTTCTTTACCAGCTCCATTAAATATTTGAATGCATGTGAGTGTTGTGCTGTTATTTCATTGCTGTAGATTTAGAAGGAAGTCCTAAATACATGGATATTCTAATACATATACAAGCATATATCATAACTGCTGCCTTTGGCTCTGTTATGATTGGTTGGTTATAACACAGGATGAAGGGGAAAGTGTCAAGATGAAGGGACTTTTTCTTCAGTACATAACTTGTAGAACAAAAAATCTGCAAAGGGGTGGTTCTGTGGGTAGAGGGCTATCAAATTCCTCTGTGACTTCAGGAAAGATATATAGCATGCTGTGTTCAGAGGGCTTTTGGAGGCTCTGCAGAGCCTGGCTGTCAGATACAGGTACTCTGATAACATGAGGAATTTTATGAAAATAGTACATCAGCAGGCTGGTCAGGTGTTTTAATCATCTCTTACATTCCATTCTACCCTCTGGTCTTGGAGAAAATGTCTCAGTTTCTATACAAACCTAAATTTATTGTATGAAACCATTATTTTCATATACTCAAACCGCTCTCTGAGAAAAATCATATCTAAAGGGCACAGGAGATTCAAATGCACACTTCAAACTTTTTTATATTTAATTATATCAAAGTCAAGTTTACTACACAAATAATGGAAGATTTAATGGCTTAAAATAGAAAAAGCAATAGTCAGAACTGCCATTAGAGTTCTCAGTCCCAATGGTGCTCCACATAAATCAATTTATGTTGATAATCAAGAGGAAACGTCTCGCTTTTATGGCTAAGTGATTTCTTCCAACATATTCAGAACCAGCAACTGTCTGGAATAACTGCCACTGGTCTGATTTGATACTCAGGATCCTGTACTGCTGTGGGCCATTACCAGCACAAGAACAGTCTATATACCGGAGAGGAAGATCCTTTGGTCTTTTCCAGACTAACAGAGAACCAAATGGTAGAGCAGATGGATGGACAGACAGACCCCTGGTTTGTTTTGTAATAGTGCTTATCATGGCGGCTGGATTGTGGCTTAGCAAAAGACTCTTGTGGTGCACCAAGAAAGGCAGCCTCAGACACCAGGAGCATTCATGATTCAGTCAATCTTAACTAATTAAGTTTATGAGACCCTTTATAAAGGGGAAAGGAGCAAGACATTGCTGCTTTAGGATAAAGCACAACCTGGATCTGACAGATAGAGACAGAATACTTGTACAAAAGAATTATTTTCTTCCATTTTGGAATATTATATCACATTGTTTCCTTGTAAAGCCCTGTCTGTATCCACCTGTTGTCTTTTGTCTCTTGGTTAGATGGTAAGTTCTTGGTGGGGACTTATTCTGAATGTACATGGCTCCCAGGCACCTGGGATGCTAGTGTGCCAGGAATTGCTAGGTGCTATGGTGATACAAATAACAAAAATACACTATCTAAGGGAAAAACAACACTCCCAGACAATGAGAGCAGGAAACTTGGTCACAAATGTGACTTGGAATTTGGCATGGAGTCCATCTTACTCATGTCAGTGGTTTGATTGCCTCAATCCACTGTGCTCGCTCTGCCTTGGAGCTGGCCTGGATATAATAATGAATGTCATTTTTGGTGATGATTTTGAAGAGGTTCCCTTGCACATTGCCCTTCACTCCTGCAGAGAAAAAAAGTATAACAGATCAGGAAGATGCACAGAGAAATGCTTTGTGGCAGATATGAAGCTTCATAGGGAAAAATTTTAATTTAGTGAATTAAGGTATCAGACCTTTCCATTTCAGTATGGATAAGACATCTTAAAGGTCTTCTGTCATTGATTTCCCTTCTGCAAAATAAATACGTAGTACATACATCCCTCACACAGACTGCATGAACTACTGTGTACTATGCTTCATATATAAAATAGCTGCAGTTTAGACAGAGAATCTTACTTGAGTTATACAATGGAGGGATGAACTCCCTACCAGTTTGTGCAGTAGATTAGATTTGCTCCTGGCCATCTTAGGGTTCCTCTTAGCAAGGACTTCTGTTGTTCATCATGGCCCCCTACCCTGAACCATATCTTTTTGAAACCCTATTCAAGACCCACACATTGTGCTTACTGTCATAAAATAAATTGCTTCAACAGCAGGAAGACTTAGCTGTGAGGCTGAGGTTCCAGACAAATGCCTAAGCTAAGCATATTCACTAGCAGAAGTGGTTTTTGCATTGCTTTCTTTATGTCTCCCCCACATTCATGTTCTAGCAGATCAAAAAGGAAAAGGTCATAGCATAAGTAGAGAGGACACACAGAAAAGGGATGGCATCAGGGGATGCCTCAAGACTTTTGAGTTAAACAGCATCCAAAAAGAAGGTGTTTCCTCTTTGTCTGTTAACTCTGGAATATTAACCAGTGTCTTAGGACTGTCTTAGAGGTCATCTGACAGAAAAGCCCATAAAAAGCAGAACACTCAAGATATGTGGAAATAACGTTAAAAAAAATCCCCTCTGGTCTGGACAACCCTGCGGTATGGGGATTTTTTATGATATGCCTCTTCACTTGCTTGCGAGGGGAGAGGGAAGGCCAGCCCACTTGTGCATACAGCCAACCATACACACAAACCCACACCCAAAGACTGTATTGCTATGCTCTAAATATGTATCTATGAAAGTTTAGAGGCTCCTGCTTACCTGCTGGGACTCCGTTGTCCTCCAGAGCTGAGACAAGACAGCCACGAAGAGAAAAGCCACCTACTGGCCTGTTTTCTTCCTGCAAAGAAAAAGGAGATGAGACTTATCTGGAAAATGTCATCATTAGAATAATTTCCCGAAGCACATCCATTATTTTATGAAGGTGGAGGTATAATGCCAGTCTTTCCAGATATAAAACATGTATGTCACAAGAGAAGTCAATTAGGACATGTAATTAAATGCATTACTATCTTGTTGCAGTCTCAGATGTTTCTCTGATGTAGCTGGGAACGGTGGAGATCAATTAAAAGCACAAGGGTAGGGTAACAATCACATTTCAAACTTATGCATAGTCTTATCAACAACATCCCATATTAAAAATATATATATTTGTGCAAGTTTTTAGCTTGCTGCTTTTCACTGAGACTGTATGGGAAAAATTTGACTGTTTTCACTAGCAGGCTGGCTCTCTTGTCTGATCTTCAGGGTTGGCAGTTTGAGTTTATAGCATTACAAAAGTGAGCTGCAGTGCAAAAGAACCCCACAAAGAAACAAGCAACAAAAAATGAACTAGCTCCATAAGCTCTTTCACTGTTATGTTTTTTGTGGTACCCTATGCATCTGGGGCTGATGGATCCACATGCTCTTCTGGGTTGCTCACATTGATTATTATATCCATTAAGATAAATTCTACTATTCCCTGAGCAAGTTTAAAACTGAGTAGCAGAAATTCCTATAAATACTTTGGCATGAAGGAGACCCTATGCAATGTTGGAATAAGAATGTAAAAAGTCCCAGTAGCAGTATGACCCTCAAGCGGTGGGATGTCAGCCCAGAAATATCGCAGGCCAGGAAGAATCCCTGCAGGAGCATGATCCCAGACGGTGTGGGTAAAGCAAGAGACAAATCCCAAGATGACTGCTGCTCCAGGAGGGAAGATGCAGGGATAGAAAATCCTACAAGGACAACCTCCCAGGGTAAGGCCAGAGAGGTCGTATTCCCAAGGAAATGGATAGAGGAACACAGAAGGAGATTTGGGTGAGAGAAACATTTACAGCAGCATTGGATTTTCATTATAATGTTTAGGTCTGTAAGAGGATTTCTGGGGGTAGTAACTCCCCACTCACATACCTTGGTGGGGTCATAGTAGTGCAAAAAAGCAGGATCAGCTCTCAAAACAAATCTCCTCACCTTCCAGTTTTTTCTCTTGTGCCCCTGCAGAACAGAATAATTAAAGTTACCACCAGTAAATACCTCCTACAATGGCCATTTTCCTGCAGGCTGTAGGGGAGACCTAAATAGGCATTGAAAAAAGACATTTTGGAGCCAACAGGGAAAAATCTTTTCTGACATCGCAGCCACTCCCAGGATTTTCTGCTTAACATCCTTCCTCATCCATTGGTATCTCCTTCCTCTCTCCCTCGTGCTGAGAACCAAGAAAGCAAAGTGACAAAGTGTTTATATACCTGATTCCTGCTCTTAATTTCAGATTAAATATGGGTCTTGGATTAAAACCCCATGCTTGTGTGTGCTCTGAGGGGATTACATCAGGTTCTTTTGCAGCTTTTCACTCTTTCCCCTCCAGTCTCAGCTGGCTCCAACCTCTCAGCTGCCAAGGGTGCAGGGCAGCACGGCGAGCCTGTGCCGGGCCCTGAGAGCATCCCCCAGCTCCCGGAGGTCGGGGGGCACCTGATGATCCAGTTTGTACAACACAAAAACCGCAGCTCAGGGCACACCTCTGCGGGAGGCTGCATTATGCTTTGAAACAGCGTGATCGATCCTCACCTTGTTCGTAGCAAGGGTCGGAAACTAAATCTTACAGACTAAAGGTGAGATCCTGCAAACAATTATTGCCAACAGGTAATGGTGCCAAAAGAAAATAGGTCTCACCACCACCAGAGCATCCACGTGTGCATGAGTGACTGTCCACAGGTAAGTTTCCACTTCATGCAGAAGTCAGTCTACTCAGCTTCGACATTTGTCTGTAGCCAGCAGAACGTCACAGCAGCTCACACAACCCGGAGGGGCTAGGTTAAACCAGAGGAACTGTGGATCTGCTTGGAAGTGAATGCAACACCTCTGGTGGGATCTGGAGTTTGTGTGGGGCTTTTGCTTTTGATACAGTTTTATACCTTTCAGTATACACTCAATATATACAGAATAATCCAATGAATCCTGCCTGAGCAGCAAGTTGCATAGCTCACTTGTTTATAACTAGAAACTCTTCACCACAAGATCTCTGATAGTAGTACTGACAGGCAAGTTAGCTCTGCTGGCCACAACTCTCCAGCCACGCTTGTATAAAACTCTCCACCCATGCTCGTATAAATCACATGTATTCTCTAGGAAGCCCTAAGAGCTGTCACTTTTCTTGTCTCCCAGTGAAGGTTCAAAGACTGTATTTACCTGTTTCACTAAGAATCCTTGCTTCACAATTGTGCCACTTAATTCAGAGATGTTAAATTGCAGCTCTTCCTTGGAAATGGTGTTTTTCTTACTGCTCTCAGCCTGCAAATAGGGAAAAGATGGTTCCACTTTTCTTCTTAATCTAAACACACTTTTATGTACAAAGTTCTGCATTTTATTTTCCTTGAGCTGTTTTTAGCTCAGATTTCCTGAGTAAATTCTACTCCATAGCCCTGCTGCTCAGCTTTGTAGGTCCAAGATTTACAAGCAACAAATTACAGCTGTAAAGCCTACTCACGCACCGTGGCCTTGAGCTTTAGCATAACTACAGCACGGCCTCCGTTAAACGCAGGCACAGCGCTGCACTCGAGGGACACACCCCTTTTAATGCCTAATTATGTAATTTGTAGATCCCTCCATATCCGTGTAGCTATTTGTCTCCAGCAAAAGCGCAAGTGTTAGCACTCTTAGAAGCCTAGAGCTGCTCCTTCTGTGTTTACTTTCATAGCCTGCGTAGTTTGCCTTCGGTTGCATGCTGTGCGTGTCCCCTTTACCACTGCCCCAAATCAAGCGAGGGGCAGAGGAGGTGCCTCTGTTGGCAGCTGCATCACTTACAAACATGTACAGTGCGGTGGAGTCGTCCAGGAACTGCTCAGAGAGGTCACTGTAGCGCGTGGCCTCGGTGCTGCGGGTTCCCACGGGCTTGACGAAATTCTCCTCCATCAGCATGGATGCCAAGGTGACGGCCTCGAATCGTGACACGGCAAAGCTATTGGAGATGAGCCAGTCCACCAGGGCAGAACCTGCAGGGAGAAAGGCAGCTCTCATACCATGACAGTGTGCTCTTCCAAGGTGAGACAGATGGTCTCCTGCCACACAGGTCTTCATTTGCTGAAACATTTTGGCACCGTCACAAAGACTGTCAGTGAAGTGCAAGGTTGACCAGAAGTGGGCGTCCTATGTGTGCTTCCATATATCCAAAGAGCAAGGGAGAAAGGTGTCGGAGAGCTTGGCTGCACCACGGCTTTCCACTGGGCCACAACTGATCCCACCACGAAGGCAGTACAGTAGCTCCCTTGTCTCTGCAATGTGGCGTGTCGCACGGGAGGAAGCTCTTTGCCTGCAGCAGGTGTACCTGTGAAGGTCTCTTTGTATCTGTTGCCGTGCTCCAAGTTGCGAGTCAGCTTAATTCCAGTACTGCTGTCACACATTCTCTCCACTATGTGGCTGTAAAAGAGAACACAGGACAATGTTAGTAGAAGAGAAAGACAGGTAGAAATTGCCACATACTCCTGTCAGTGCCTGGGATGTCCTAATGATTACCAACATAAAGATGGGAACAGCCTAGATATTCTCCCAAAAGTTTTGCCCTAAGTATGGTATAGAAAACCTTTATTCTCCCAACAGCAGCACTAACAGTAATAAGCAAGATGCCTCTCAAAGTATCTTGCAATTTAAAGCCCTTCAAACTGAGCTATAGTCAGCCTCCATTTACCTTCTCAACAGAAATCAGATTAATGTAATTTTTTAATTTCTTAATCAGTTCTCTGTTTCCTGTTGTTTAACATGATGCACCCTGAAGTTTCTAGTCTGGATTCCAGTTATGAGCTTTCAAAGCTCCCCAACATAGCATGAACGATGTCATCGCTCAGTCTCTCCCTGACATCTTCCGAGGCAATACATCTCCCCAAGGAGAACCTTTGCAGCTGACTAGGAAGGTCTCCAAGCCAGCAGTGAGGTGCCCGTGCAGAACGGACATACTCACAAAAAATGATGGTCAGGAGAACGTGCGTTCTCATGCCCTGGCAAAAGTATGTGCAAACCTAGGGCAGAGCAGCCAGTTTAGAGGCCACATGGGAGCGGATCTGTGCACAGAGGAGCTTCCCTTGACCCTCCCATCCATCAGCTCAGGTGCTTTGCAAACTACAGCAACAGCGGAAGAAGAAACCATATGCACTTACTGGAGGCTGATATTCTCTAGTAGTTTGAAAGAGTTCTTCATTCTGTGAAGCTCTTGTACCTGTACTGGGTGACCAGCATGAATAGCTCCAGTGATGTCCAAAGCCCAAGAGTCTCGCTCCTCCCTGGAGCAACATTCAAGGAAATAGTCTGTGTTGGTTTTTGTCTTTAGTTTGATGAGTAGCTGTGGAGAAAGAAGTGGAAAGCAATAACATCATTTAGCTATTGTCCTCCACTTGCATTTTGCTTCTTTTGGCGCTGGCCCAAGTGACACAAGTCTGATATGACATCCCACCTGAGCAGCACAGAGCAATTCTTGACCAGAAGGATGGTGGACAGAACTCTGGGATTTTTTTGGCTTCCTCCCTGTCCCGATCCCTGGGTTTTCAGTTCCAAGCATGATTTGCATGCTTGGAGCTTGTGGTACTTAAAAGAGAGCAGACCACCCAGAGACTCTTACATAGGCATGTGCTGCTGACTATGGAGATTTCATATCCAGATCTCTGGTTTCTCAACAACCACAACCTCTCACTAGGCTCCTTCTGCCCTGAGAAGTACTGAAATAATAGTCAGCAACTGACAGCCGGTTCCCTTCTGGCCCCGCTCAGGGGAAGTCTGCATTGCCGCTACCCGCGGGTGAGCGGACAAGCGCGGGAGGCACGTTCCCTTCCAGAGCCTTGTTGCTGGAAACTGTCCACAGCAGTGATGTCTCCTTGGCGAAGGAAAAGGGAGTCTGACCTGGCTGCCTGGGAGTGCCCCATGGTCACAGGCAACTACCAGAGATGATAAGTTTTCTTTTTTCCCCATCCTCCTCAGCTTTTATTAAGCTGTTTGTGTCCTCCCTCTACACACCACTGGGCTGATGCATTTGCGTTTATTCTTCCCACTGTGTGCAGGGGTGGTTGTGTGTGTGTGGGGGTTTGTTAATGGCTGTGACAGATTTGGGCACAGGGAACAGCAAAGACACATTGAGGGAGTTCATTGCTCGTCCTGGTTACACCGCTAATGGCAGCTTGTTTTTGGCTGGGCCAAATTCTGGAAACACATTACCCCAGTGATATGGTTGCAGTGATCAAAGAAGTCAGGAGGAGAGGAAAAGACTAGGGAGAAGTTAGAAAGTGACCATTTTTGAGAAGGGATACATTTTTCCAGTCGTACCGGTCTGTTTTCATATTCCAGGCATGGACAAGTAATAGTGCAGCCATCCAAAAGGATCCTGCCCTTTGGAGAAGGTTCCTTCTTGCCTCCTTCAATTTTGTAATACAGCAGCTTATCCTGAAGCAGAACGAACCATCTCACTTTCCAGTTACGAACAATATGTCCCTAGAGGGGAAGAAATCCACACAGCTAACTTTAACACAAGTGTTGAGAAATGACTGTATGTTCTTTCTTTTTTTTTTTTTTTGGTGGGTGAAAATACCATAAACCAATAGGAAACTGTATGAAAAGAAACACAAGAAGTCATCATGAGTACTGTTCTCCCTGAAATACACATTTTTAGTAACAAAATAGCACAGCTCCATCGCTACAAAATCACAGAGCAATAGAAAGGTGCTTTGCTCTTTCTCCAGTAAGGACATCTTCTTTTCTAGCAAGAATTTTTTCTTGCAAAAGCTTTCATGAATGATCTCAAAGAGCTGTCATATAGGTGCACACCTGCCTGCTGAGAGCACCAGGCAGGAATAGGGCTAAATCCAAAATTTAGGAGGGCTCTTGGAGACAAACTCCTCCTCTCCATTGTCCCTGGGTGGTGGTTGATGTGGTGTTTGTAATTTTGATGTGTCTGTAGATACCAAGTGGTTTTGAGAGTGCTTTTCTGGGTGAATTGGCTCGTCCTTACATCCCCGCTTACCGCTAACACGTGGTTTATTTCTATCCTACCTGCCTCCCATCTCCTGGGCTCAAACATTCCCTGTGCTGCTGCTCCCTGTGAAGGAAATACACTTTTTAATGGCAGAAGACCGAATGAAGGCTGCTGTCAAATGCCTCCTGGGTTATACCAGCATACAGACAAATCCTCTTCTTCCCGCACTGTGAACAGCCTCCGGCTGTCCTTAGCCCAGCTGCACGGGAGAGCAAACCGAGGGCGGGCTGGCAGTGACAGGCTCAGTCCTGTCTGACGGTGTCAGGTCCAGCTTCGCGGTGCGGGGAGCTGACTTGCTTTTCTACAGGCGATGGAGCATACAGCCAGCAGGCCAAGCTCTGGGTGGAGGAAGCTCTGACACCTGGGGAGGGTGGGCACAGCCAGGAGAACGGAACATGCAAGGTCCAGTTGTGGCAGGAATCAAAGCTCATTAGTTCTCTATGAGTAAAGGGGAAAACCAGCAATTTCCAAGAAAAGGTGTGGTAACTAGTGTCTAAAATCCGGGGCACTTTAGATCTAATGTCTTCTAGTCTGTCTTAAATACTATTTATCCAAGTTGGGTTTGTTCTCTCCTTCCCTTTGCCTTCTTCAGTGTTTTTTTCACCTGTTGTGAAGTCCCTTGGCTTTTTTTCCTGAGAGTAAAATGCTCTGCTCTGTTCTTTGCTATGGCTCTTTTCTTTCCTTCTTGGAGTTTTCCTCTTTTTCAGGAGGTTGCCTTACCTTTTTTTCTTTACCTTTACCCGACTTCCACACAGTCGCTTTATATTTATAATACATTACAATGCATAATTCAGTCATTTAGAATGCATTTAGATCATCATCTCCTTGCTTCTGCTCTCTTCTTCTTAAGAAATCTGTTTCCTTTACCTGGTCCCCCCATCCTCATTTCTCTCTCTGGATCCCTCGTTCCTTTCTCCCTCAGTTTCCTTCAGTCATCTTCTTTATTGTCTCCTTATCAAACCATGTATCTCGGTGATGTTGTACAGGCTGCTGGCAGTTACAGCTCAGTGTGCTGCCAATAACCTCTTCCTCTCACAGACACGGTGCCTTGGTTTCCCATCTTGGATTCAGCAGTCATATAAAAGCCATAAAATACAACCATAGCCCAGAGAGGAGAGCCAGAGCTGGGACTGCTCTGCCCTCGCTGCAGAAGGGAGGATGAGGAACAGCTCGTGCCGTGCAGCCCTTCTCTGCATAAAGCATGGCTTCAACGTGGCCGGTGGCCAGCCAGGAGCCCTGCCAGGAGAGCTCCTGACCAGGATTACCTTCATGTTAGCGCCCGAAGCACTGCCACGTACTGTAGAAAAGCATTTCCCAAGGCGTGGCAAAGCTTTGAACAAACCTTTGAATCACATTTTGGTGTGCAGTCAAGGACAATGTTAGTCATTGAGAGAGGGTCTTGGTACTAAAAGCAGCTTATGCCCCCTCCTAACGTTGCCCTCTTGTGTCCCAGCTATGACTGACTTGGTCCTATAGGGAGAAGTGTTGGGAGGGCTGAAATCTGTGACACCATCTTTCAGCTCTTTTCTCCACGTTGGCTAAAATTTTCTTCCAGTGCAGCTTGAGGGGTGTGGAAGAAAGAAGTTATTTCCAACACATTTCTACCTTTGTATTGCTCTGATCCCCTTCAAAAAGGATAGCCTGTTCTCCATCCTCTCATATGAAACGGGAAACCCTGCTCAGCTGGGCTCCTAAAGAAGGCACAAACTATCTTAAGAGACTGTCAAAACATCTTCCCTTTCTCCATCCACCCACGGCCGCTTCCACTGCTGCCACGAAGCCGTTTGCCAGGTATTGTTTTTTACGCAGAGGTGTGCTCTAGGGGCAGACATACTGGCTTTCTGATATCTACCTGAGTAATCCTGATAGAAAATTCACTTCCCTCTGGGTAAACACCAATACGGGGACACTCGAGGGAGGTAGTGAACACCTGCCGTTCGTGAGCTCCCCCGGCAGGAATCTGCACAGACACGGAGGAGCTCCTTTCCCGGGAGCGGGCAGGAGCCCCTCAAACCCAGCGCCCAGCGGGACGCCTCGCCGCGAGCCCTGGCTCGATCCGGTCCCTGCTCAGGGGCTGCTTCCACCTGTGAGCAGAACCGCATGAAGGGGAACCGGAGCACTTACCCGTTTGACGAGGAAGCCCTCCTTCAGGACTCCAGCTGCTTCCTGCATCGTGGCCGGCAGGGAAGAGAGCCGAGCTCCCGCCGAGAAGCGCCCGAGCCCTGGCAGCCTGTCCCTCTGCACGCAATTTGTTTAAGAAAGCTCATTTTTCTTTGCTACCCTCCTCCTCCAACGTGACGCACTCTCCCTTCCCTGTTTTTTTCTCCTTCTCTTCCCACCTATGAGACATTAGCTGAACAGTGAGCTGGCTCCGATACATTACCTGCCCTCCGGGAAGTAAAACAAAGGGAAATCTAAAAAGGATCTCAAAAGAATTCCACAGAATTTAGTATAGCAAGAAACCACCACCGAGTGTGTTGGACAATATAAGGAGCCACGTGATGACAAAATCAGGTATTGCATGGGAGGAGAAGCAGAAATATAACATTACATCCCTCAAAACTTCAGACTAACCAACGCTACCGCTTAAAATTTCTCATCTAATAAACACATCTCATAGGGGTTCTACAGATCAGAACACCTTAATTGTAACATATAGAATATTATGATTACAAGGAGACTTTTAAAAACCTTAAATTACTTTGTTAGAAATGCATTTTACTGAAGAAGTCCCAAAGCACCTAAAAAAAATCACTCTACTTTCAGTGACCTCTGGGCATGCAAACCAAGATACTCAACTTAATATCCTAAATCCCTGCATCAGCAACTATTTGGGCTTTTAGTAAAGCAGTCTGATCAATGAACACTGTGCATTGACCTCTTGTAACTCCCGAGCACCTCTGAAACAGAGTGCCTTTTTGTGACCGAATATGAGCTTAGATGTTTATTGCATTTTTGAAGACTTTGGCCATGATCCAACTGTTTGATAGATTTATCAAATCTTATCCTGATGAAATAAACCAGTGAAACTATTTCAGAAAGCGCCGCGGTTCAGAAGTAATAGTCTTTCCTGTACTGTTAGCATTCCCTAACTTGTACCAAAATTAAGGTGATATACGCAGGCAGAGCTAGGGGCTGTGATAAGAAACATGACACACAGTGTAAGTAGTACACAAAAGCACTCGTTGCTATGTGAGAGTCCAGGGTTCAGTAAGACAAAGTCACTCAAGTATCTCTCAGTCTTCGCATGCCGGATCAGATTACTCGTCGCACTCATGTACTGAGGAAAAGGAAGAAACAAATCATTTTTTATGCTATTTTTTCTAACTTTTAGAGAGGAAGAGCAAGACAGCGAGAAATTCAAATCTGACGGTATACTGGAGACGACCCGGAGAACAGTCCTGCAGAAATCATGAGAAATGGGTGGCGGAACACTACCTGAAGTTAGAAATATCGATTGCTGTATAAAGAGAAAGCATGCTGGCTCAGATTTCAAAAGCAGACGGCCTGTATGGACGTTACCTACGTCACTCCTACTGTTCTCCCTTTGCCACTTTGGAAAAGGCAGGCAGCCACGAGGCAACCGACTGCATTAGTCATACCCCAGTTATGTTTGTTCTTCAGTCCACCTAAAGTGAGTACAATAAGTTTAACAGAACACCTAGAAGAATAGTTTTTGCTGCAGGTACACAGTATTTTCAAAGATATCAATGGAAATGTTTGCAAATTTTTTATATCATTGGGGTCTTAAAATAAAGCAGAAGTGAACTGAGTGTATTCCTTTTAATTTAAAAAATAATCTCTGTCTCTGTGTATATACATAAAAAATATATATATAAATAAAAGTTGTACTCAGAAGCAGAATCTTGGGAAAAAATACCTCATGCAGTCCGCAGAAAAAAAAGAACAAAAATCTCAGCTCACAATGTTCTGTACATCAGAATTAAACTCGAGAAACAAGAAGAAAACTTGAGTCTAGGTACACAAGAGCCATTACTGCTGCATGCGTTTCCTGGACACGCACTCTTTATATAACCAGCTCCAGGAATAGAGTGTTCCACCGCTTGGCGTTTGAGGTTTGACTTCGCATTGTTCAGCTTGTTACTGCAGGCAATTTCTAACAAGGTGAGTGAAGTAATTTCATGCTCGTGAGAACAGGCAGAAGCTTGCAGGGGGCTCTCGCTCAGACAGTGATCTCAGAATTGCACCACAACCAGTCCTCGACGAAGATCTGAACGAGCTCTTTTTCTCCAGCACGCAGACCACCCACAACCCTGCAGACGGATCTTGGCAAAATTACCATTAGCAACGAAGACTTTTGTTGTCAAGCTGCTGGTGAATGGTGAAGCAAACATCACACTAGCTGGCCAATAAATAACAGGTTTTGTATCAACTTCTTTTTTATAATCTAGAACCTTCACTTTCTTCAATACCTTGGATATTTGTAATACCCCTGCCCCACCCTGTCTCATTCTGTAGTTGATCAAGGCTAACAAACTGCCCCTACGTTGCTCCCTGAGGTTGAGTAAATACAGATCTCTCAGACAGCTTTGTGGGAAAAGGGTCATATAGTGTAAAATGAGTCAGTAGATCTGGGCTGCCGTATCTACACACGTGCTGGGAAGGCTCCTGGCAGAAAAAGACGTGCTTCAAACCATATAAATCCAGGCAGCTCCAGAAAACTCCATCAAGTCTTCTGTGGGACTTGAAGCTCACTGAAAGGAGGACTGTTTCCTCAGATCCATTTTATAGTAGAGTTTTCCACATGTCAGCGTAGTATTTTAACAAAGCAGCACAGTTGAGCACTTGACATTTTCTTCCATTCCAAGTGACCCCAAAACACTTTATATGTGACAGAATTTGCATTGGGGTGGCCAGGAAGAGCCAGCTGCAGGCTTCAGGAGCACAGGACACTACTCAGGGTTAAAGGGAAGGGCAGGAGTAGCTGGCTCTGAGCACAAACTGTGCTATTTCAGCTGGCTGACCTGACAGACACTGCTGGTACCTCCAGGTCAGTCCCTCAAGAAGCCCCGTACAGCTGATGAAGAGAACCTGCCCAAAGGATAACCCCTACCGCATGCTCTGCAACGCTCATCGTGTACCATCACGTGAACAGTATCATCTGGGGCATTACATATACCCAGCTTTTTCAAAGCAGCTTCTTAAGATGCTAGGACTTTGCCCTCCGGTGTAGGACACCATTAAATACTTAGTTCCTTTAGTGGATTAGGGATGAAATAAGATGAAAACAAACCACATCAAAATAAAAAAATGATTAAACATTTGTAGATAAAAGTGAAAGATGACAAGTGTTCAAAAGTCTTCTGACATAAGGGTATTTTTTAAATTAACTGTAGAAAGGTGGCAGCATTTGAAAACAGTTGTGTAATTGTCTAGACTCTGGAAAAAAACTATCAGAAATTAAATACCAAAGTGCAGAATCCACTATGAAGAACAACATGCCAGCTCCACTGCATCTAAAAAAAACTGAGGGCCAGAATCAGAGAGAAAACAGCAGGGAATTATCACTGTACTAAAAACCAGACACACCACAACAGCCCCAAGAAAGCAGGGCACCCTTTCTTCAGCAGCCATTATTTCCCCGCATCAGAAACAGGATACTGGGCTGTGTGCCTGACCTGAGCCAGTACCTCTGTTTGAGGCGTTTTTTTTGCATTAATGAGTCCTTATCAGATGTTGTAAGTCAGACTGTTTCCAAGCTGCCAATCTTACAAAATTAAACTGGGATATCAAAGCCAAACTGAGATCCTCACAATTAACACATCAGGCCAAGTCCTGTCCACAGGTATACCTGTACCTTTCTCTTCAGTGCCCACATGAGTGCAAGAGGAGATTTTGGCCTTGCAATTACAATTGAGTAAACAGGACAGTTGCTAATGAACAGGCGAGAATATGCTACCTCGCTTTAGCGACTCAATAAAGAAGTTCACACAAACCCCACGACCCTTATTTTAAGCACTTGGTAAGCAAACGCAGTTCCAGGAACACAAAATAGACTGGTTGAGACAGAAGCCATCATCCCAACGACTTCTAAAGATCCTTAAGTCACAGGCTACAGCAACTGAGGCGGCACAGCCGTGGCCCAGTGCGGGCTTTGCACCTTCGGCACTCCCTCACACGCACCTCACTACCAGGCCTTGAAAGCAGCCATCTTAGACGTCCTCCTTCCAGCTACTGCAACACACGAGAAATACCCGCTAAGTTGTCTTGCATCTTTTATTTAAGCTTCTGGGTTAAAATTTGCTCAAGTAACAGGACAGCCCGATTTTATCTGCCAGTGCAGTAAGTGATTGAAATGCATTTATCTTATGCTGCTTTGTCAATGTCCTCACCATCTTGGTCTCTTTTTCAGCCCTCAAAATTGACACAGAATTGTGTACACCAGCATGCTGAGGCTCTAATTAGAAAAAGCTCCTGTAGCTACGGAACAAGTTTAGCAAACTTTTACCCAAGTTACTGACAGAAATGATGCTCACCTATTAACACACCCAAACGGCTCTTAGAGACAATGTATTTGTAACCCCCCCAATAGTACTCCAAAGAAAGAGCATGTGTGGCTCATTTTTCAGGGCTTTGCTTTACAGCATTATTTTGGCATACAGAGCAGATGAAGACTTTTTAGTTTTTAAACACTGTTCTTTTGTCTGAGTATTATGTTTAATGGAAGTCAAACCACTATTTGAGTGATATTTAGTTGGAAGAGCTGCTCAAACAGGAAACTAACATTATCACAACTTCAAGTCATGACTCAGCTGCCAGATGCAGCTTCTGAAAAGACAACAATTTGAGAAAATAACCATTAAAAAAAAGTTTCTTAATTTTGTGATGACACATTCAAGTATCTACATTCTGCAAATACTGGAAGTTACTTGACTTTTTTGGCTTTGCATTACTATTAAGAGTTGGGTGGATGTGAACTTCTCTGATAGTCATGCATGGATTGCAATATGTATGCCCTTTGTGCGTGCCTTCTGTGGCAACACCATGTAGCAATGATATTGTTTGTACTGCAGCAGTATTAAGAATTCTTAGTTAAGGCTCAAAGACTCCTTTTTCATGCATTTTCCCTTCACCAAATATTAAGGAAAAAAAGGAGATGAGCAATATGGGACATGATGATAAAAAAAAAAACAGGTATGTTTAAAACTTTAGCAGTTTGGAAAGTTTACTTAAACAAGAACAAGTCCTCCCCCCAGTTCCCACAGATAAGGAAAACAGG